TGATTCTATGATTCTATGATTCTAAGATGTTACTTTGTCAGATGAAGGAAAACAGCAAAAAAGAATGTTACAGATAGCACGTGGATATTGATGCTCTTTGGAGAGCTTGGCTCAACTGCAAATCATTGGGAGGTTTTCAGTAGGACTCAGTTTATCATTTTTCCTCTGTGATGTCAAGTTTGGTCACTGTATCGCTAACAAGCCTATGCAAACAGTTGCTAGCCTCTTGCATTAGGCTCCACTGAACCAGCTCCATGAGCTTTACAACTACTATCTGTGTTCTGCTCTTCTTCTCACATCTGCCTTCTTAAAACAGTGAACAACTATATTTGTACAATCTGTCTTTCTAGTCTATATTTAAATCGAGCCTAAATTGGTTGATCCCCAAATAACTTCAGTCCACCTTCTGGCTCTGGCCAATACATTCTGAAAAGTGGACGGCTTCTGTCTCACCATGATGCTTTTCCAAAGAACATCCTTTTCTCCTATCACTGAGCTGCTATTCCTCTAGATCCCAACACAGTTCAGTCATCCTTGTAGACGGCAGAGACAATACAGAATCCTGTTTTTTTTTACTGAAATCTTGCACAGCAGTACTCTGCATAAGACAACCAATTTTTCTTTCTCCTATAGTATCATGCACAATTATCTCAAACAAGTTTTCTTTATATGCTTCTACATCCATCCTGCAGATGAAGCTCTCATTTTTTCTTTCCATGCTTTGCAGAACAGCAAAAAACTTGAATCAGAGGTAAGTCTCACTGTGTAGAGACACCATCTGAAGAATCAGATGTTAGGAATTTAGGCAGAAGTGTAATCAGCTTCCTAAGATCTGTTCACTATTAACATAGTTTTGTATAAACTAGAATTTGGAGGTTTGCCAGCAGTGTACTAGCATGGAGCATCAGAACTAGTAAACACAATCTAGAAGCTTAGTACAAGTAAGGTAGCATATACTTTAACTTGTTCTAAAACACCCAGAGCATCCCTACTAAAATGGACAATGTCTTGTCTAGCTTGACTTTTAAAAATGTGAGACAGTTTAGTCTAACCTCATCTCTTTAAAAGTCCCCTCTAGAAAAGGTTCAAAAGAACAACTATTACATGTTAGCAGGGATCCCACTGTAGACAGTTAAGCTCAACACTTTTTCTGGGTAGTTTTACTCCTAATGACTACACACACACCATGTCTCTTTGCCCCACTTCAGCAGATAGAATAGTAGTTGTGGGAATTCTCTTTCCATTTCCTTCTGATTAACAAAGGAGTGTCTCCCATTGCCATTGCAAGCTTTAAAGAAAAAATAACACTGTCCCAGGAAAAAAACTGCAGCAAGAGGCACCCTGCGGAATCTGTGGTATATTTTTTCTTAAAAAGTTTCTTGTCATTTCTAGCAACAATGAATCCCTAGAAGGATAAGAAACTGTTATAGTTACTGATAGGTCAAGCATGCAGTAATTTAACAACATTTTAATCAGTGGGTTGTCTACCAAGAAGGCCTGTAGGTTAAAATGCTTACTAATCCTTGCCAAAGCATGTACATTATTAGACATCCAACTGTTATAAAAGAAAGTTCACTAGTGATGACAGTGATGGAAAGTATTAAAAAAAAAGTCTGTTGGTATCATCACTGAATTAACATGCCATACACCAAGTTCTAAAAAGAGGACTCACCTTGTAGCAATCATTTGCAATGAGCTGCAAAAGGTTAAAGGACTCCCCTGACGTTTCCATCTTCAGATAGAGACTCCAGGCCAACTGTGGTTTCTTATTCATAATATCTGCAATAACAACAAAAAGCTGTGATTGTGAAAAGAATATGCCATGCACAATACTCAATGGCAGGTGGAATAAATGTTCATAAAATTGCTTACTGTAAATGCATGCCTCACCCTGTGAGTGTGAGGTTGGGAAGGCAAACTTGTCCTTCTGTCTTAGTAGCGATAATGGCAATTTAGAGAATACCAATGTCAAGAGGAATAATTATGGCGTTTACATCTCAATTTATATTTCACAGATACAGCAATAAGCACAACTTTAATGATTTCAGATGTGATTAAGGACCAGAATGGAAAGCATTAGAGAGGTTATTTTATGCAGGACAATGAACCGTGGCATCCATTTAGATGGTGAGATTTAGGATTATGTGTTCTTACACAGAGAAAAAATGTAATTGGCACTGAACTGAGGTCTTTAATACCTGGTGCCCACCTCAATCTAAACATTCAATTCCCCTGAATCATAGCAAAGCAAAGTGGGCAGGGGACACTAAACTTGTCATTATGCATCTACTAGAAAAAATAAATATTTCCAAATGCCCAAAATTTGTGCTGGTTTTAAATTTGCCTATGTGACTAGAATTTTTCATTGGCTTTTAACTTTAAACATCCCTGTATACATGATTAGAAATAAAACCATCTTAATCTTCCATCTCAGCTAGTGGAAATTCTACTAGGGTGTTTGAACACGAAGAATTCTAAAATTTGATTTTCTGGAGACGAGAACCCATTCTGTGGAATCTGAAATTGATATTGGTAATTCCAGACTCATTCAAGTACTGGAAGAAAAGAAAATGAAATTAAGTATTCCTTTCTTTTTCAGGTCTTACCAGCTACTAACAGGGTAGCTGTTTACAAATGGACCACTCTTGTACTCTTTCAAAAGAGGGACTGTTTAGCTTATTATACCTGGGCCCACTATGCCAATACATACATCGCAGGTAGAATGAATGGCAATCATCGACAATAAAGATGTAACACCAAATCACTTCTCATTTAGGAGGCAGCAAGACATCAAATCAGATTTTTCTTTCATCAGCTCCAGATACCATACACAGTGGCAAACAGACAGGTCTTAATTTCCAAATACCAACCCACCTAACTAGAAAATTGAGTACTTTTTTTAACTTCTCTTCAAGAAGAATTTGGTATAAATAGTACAATAATATTAAACAAAAAAATACTGTCTAGCATCAAAAAAAGATGCATCTCTGGTACTTTTTGCCCTTTGGAAATATTTCAGCATTGAATTGTTTACGACTCTAATCGTACTCTGACTTGAATGTATTATAATGCTTTGTAATTTCTACAGCAGCTTTTATCCAGAAGAATCTATTAGCAATTTACATACTTGACACAAAAAGATAACTATATTCATCACTGAACAGTTGTTTCTGCAAAGAATTCTAGCAGCTGTTTGGGAATGAAAAATCAAAATTTTAAGACAGACACAGAAGAATACAGCAGCTCTACTGAAGCTTCAACGGGAATTCAGAATGGCAAAAGGCACACTCAAGAATAAATAGCAACTCTTATGAAAGAGCTAGAAAATTTTTAATTGATAGCATGGTGTTAAATCTACTTCTTGTATAATAAGTAGCACCCTCAAAGAGTTCTGCATCCCTAGACATATGTCAAAGAAATAATAGCAGAGAATCAAAGGGATGAACACTGTCTAGTGAACAACCATGACAACAACCTTTGCAATGAGATTTCTTCCATAAAATAATTCCCATAAAGTATTCACACAGAAAACACTTACGTATAAAACACTCAAACACAACCAGGGACTGCAGCTTAATGAAAAAGGAAATAAACTGGCACGTCCTAAAACAGAGTCACAGATAGGCATCCATAGGTCTGATAAGTCGGTCTGGGAAAGATCATGTTAGAGCTGTGGACCATATCTGCAATATGGTATAATGTCCCAAAACATACGTATTTACATTCTAAGTACAACTACTAAAAATTGCTTGATAAGAGAACATTTTTGTATTGAAGGACTGTAAGGAAAATATATTCGCCTAGGGAGTCTCAGACTTGAGTCATTAGAAAAGCCCACCTCTATGCTATTTTGCATGTAGCAAAATACGTGAGGTATAGTCCGCAATGTTTTAAAAACTAACTCAGAAATGCTAAAAAGAATTTGCTGTAGAATATTAAACATAGCAAAAATTTTCTGATTTCAAAGGAAGAAGGAAAAGTTTATGGAAGAATAAACATGCTGGAGATTATAAAGGACATGGCTCAGGCACAGGAGTTTGGACAACGTGAATAATAATGTGGTAGGAAGAAAAATACCACATATGCTTGCCTGATTCTTCTTTTCCCTAGACATCTGACATTGGACACTCTTGGAATTAGACAGACCCTTCCTTGGGCCTGACCCAATATGGATGCTTCTATTTGTGTTTTACTCTGAACATTTTGAACTCTGAACATGAGTTGCAACTCAGTCTTTTAAGACAGAAAATCTTCACTCAAGCAATTGAGTAGACAATTGAGATGAAAAAGGTTCACGGGTTAGGACAAAGCTGCACTGACAGAACTATAACAGTGCTGCACTGAAGCAGTAATTGTTTACTAAAGCCAGATGCACGAAAGGTGCAGTAACCACCCACACTATAACTAGTGCAATCAGCTTTTCACTTTCACAGTCCTGAATCAACTTACAACATTCAATTCAATTAAGAAAGTGGATTGCCAAGACTGATGCAATAGAGAAGGATCTGTATTCTGCAATGTTGAGGGTAAAGTGACTCACAGCAGCGAGCTAGCCAGCTAAGGTAAACAAAATCAGTCTTTATCTTCTCACTCTGGATCAAAAGGAACACCTGAAGGAAGAAGGAAAATAAAAGATTACACACGTATGTACTTTTAAAAAAACAGAACTCAGACCTGCCTCGTTTCAACATGTGGCTAAGGCTTAAACCAAACGAACAACTGCTTCATGAGGAGAGTTAGGGTACGCAAGTGTAGCGCGAGGGCATCTCTCTGTGTCAGTAGGTGGAGGATTCAAACAGTGCCATGCTTATCAAGGGACTTCTGCAGCTGCAGAAAGCCAAGCTGTGCGGAGGGTGCGGCCTGCTCTGAACAAGTGCCAGTGGGCGGCCATGCAACACAAGCAGCACAAAGGAACACTGTGCCTGTGGGAAAAGCTATTTGGAATGTGTTTGTTTAGAAAGCAATGCAAGCAATTACATTAGCATCTTCTTGAAATACCAGAAGTTTCACATATATATGAGCCTTTCCTCCCCATACATGTCAGAGGTCATTCCAGGTAAGCAATATGCCATTTCTAACCACTTTGGTTTCAGTAGATTCCGAGGCAAAATATTAATCTTTTGTAATTTACTGTACAAATACAGGTTTATTACATTCTATATCTAAAGGGGAGAAGTGATACATTTTAAAATGTACTCTGGCTTTACTCATACACCAAAAAACAGCTATTTATGATTCTCTGCAGGTATATTTGTAACTATGCTAGGATGCTACTGGCAAAACTCAAAATACTTTTATAGGAGCAGATGTTCTTACTGGAACACTGAGTTCCACAAATTACTGTCATTTTTAGTGGTTAAACATTGCTGAGCCCCTAATTTTGGGTTTGGGGAAGAAATTAAAAAAAAAAAAAAGCAGCATTATCAGTGTAAGTAGCGCTTTATCATAGGTTTTATTTCATTATGTCCAGAGACGTAAGTTTTTTAATAAGTTAATAAGTGCTATATGTGGAGATATTTTACAAGTTTATGAGACACTGGGAAGAGTGATCTTTATATGAAAGTGTCATCACAGGCAAAGATCAGACATTAGGAGAGACTAATCAATTTTATTACATAATTCTGTTATTTAAATGCATCAGCTACATAAAACAAGTTTATATAGAATCATTTGTAAGGACATAAGAGGAAAAAATATGGATTAACAGAAGTTTACACCTTTGTGTTTCTTTGTTGCCTGGCTGCAGCTAAAGCTTACTTATAGCATTATCATTTTTATCAGCATAGCCTGCTAGCATAGTTTTAAGATATTCACCTGCATTTTCATTAAGCAAACTAAATTAAGGTGGGTGAATTGAAATATATATCCATTTTGCCTGACAGTCTTGGTTATTTTTATTGAAGAGAGATGCAATTTTGGGTCACAGAAATTAAGGGGGAGGATGGGAAGAAAAAAACCCAGGGGGCCTCTGTTGTCAAGAAACCGAAGAGTTAAACAGAAAGACAGGGTGGGGGGGTGAGGAAACCAAACAAACCTATATGATTCACTTAAGACTACATAGTTGTTTTTCTTTCCTGGCTTGTCTTCTTTCTGGTCTTGTGGAAAATGTTGCTTCCATCTTCATAATAGATATTTGCTTTTGCATATTTTAGTTGTAATTAAGTTTCTACTGCACATAGACACAAAAAAAATGCTGTGTGTAGAAGTTAATCTCTTCCAGCTGCATCTGGATGCTGCTGAATAAGATAGTGAGCACTTCCTCTTTTCGTCCCACATTTCCCAGAGGAAGAATTTTTTTTTTTTTTTTTTAAACACAAATTTCTAGGGACACCTAGAAGCTCTTAACTATTCACTGTCTTGTGGTCAGCATGCCCTAGTCGGTCTGAACAATAAGACTGCCTGGGATTCCAGACAAAGCCTAGGAAATCCGACTAAGAGGGCATTCTTTGATCAATTAGAGATAGCTGCAAGCACTCTTGTGATGCACCACAAGCAGCAGGACTTGCTATATACATCACATTACAAGATTAGCAAGATAATCTTTTCTGAATAGTGTTCACTGAGAGTTTCAGTTCCTCTAAGAAGAGGAAGATGATGTTCCACTCAACCTGCTTATTTTCAACCAACATGAAGATCTGGAGGGAGAAAAGGAAGGAAAGAGGGGATGTATGTGGGAACTGTTTCCATTGTTATTTTCTAAAGAAAGTAAATTCATACCTCTTCAGCCTCACTAAAATTGCCCATGGCAGCTTTGGCTTGGGCGTAGTTGAAGTTAAAAGTGTCATCGTTGTAGAAGTAACTCTGGAAAATAAGCCACACAGACAAACCTCAACAAAACAAAACAAAAAAACCTCCTCCCATGGTATAATAACATTAAAAATATTCCCCCCTAAATCTGAGTCAGACTATATCAAGACAATGGGAAGCAAAAAGAAAAACCCACATTATGAACATACGGCATTCATAAACAGTGGGTAGAAAATTACGGACTGGATTTCCATCCTACAGTCGTGACTACAAACACAGCTGGAACATTCCACTGTATTAACCATGAGAGTTCTGGAGAATGCTCCAAGCTCAAAACTGCAGTGGCAGCTTTTGTGGGTATAATTTTCACGTTGGGCATGTGAAGACATGCTGTGCTGCCATGGTCTCTTTCACCTGCCTAGCGCTTACTTCATCACTAGGCTGGTAAATACGCAGTTGACTCCCTAATGGCTTAAGGAGATGGACAGTTTGTTTTTCGAAGGCTTCTCAAGGTTCAACAAGAGATCCTGTGGATCTGTTTATGTGACAGATGCTAGTCTGACACACTGGATCACATGATGGAGGTGGAGCCGCAGCACTTGGCTGCAGCCAGGCAGCACACCATGTAATAGGGCTTCCTTAAATTCAAGCCTTGCTTACAGGCACCATTCTCTTTATCTGAAGTGCAACACTAAGTTTTTCTCTGCCATAATGTTAGACTGGACACACGTGGTTAATGACAGATCAGGTTGATCTAGCTGTATCTTTTCTGAAAAGCTGCAGGAGCCAAAGCAGGAAATATAATTCTAGGTACAAGTTAGCCTGATATTTTGGTTTGACCCAAATAACTTAGATTTGGTCATGGTCAGATGTCCAGATTGAAGTATAACTCAGATGACCAGAAGTCAGTTGAGTGTGTTCTCCGTTCAGCACTGTCCCACACTGCTGCAGCAGTAGACCTGGTAGAGGTAAGGTGGAACACAATACTACAGTTAACAAGTGCAGATGGGAGAACCCTTGCAGAAGAGTGGTGCAGTGCTTATGAACGAGCATGAGAAAAAAGCAGGGTGGTTTATCCACTACAGATCTGGCAAGAAAAGCTTTCCTGGGTGCATAACAGCAAGGTGTGTGGAAGAGGAAATGTTTTTCCTTATATGACATCTATAAAAGAAACTGAACTTGTGTAGGAAGATGAAACTTTTGGTTTGTTCCCTCATTAAAGAGGAGGAGGTAAAAAGCATAGTTGGGACTGTACAAAAGATATGGGAAGCAAAGCGAAAAACCCTTTCCCAGTCTTCTTTCATGATGTAGGGACACTTGAGAAACCTCTTTCCTTCCCTGCCACAGGCAGTCCACAAAGAGTACTGATCCAGTCCACCCACCTACATCAAGCTAGTGTCTTGAGAGGAAAGGTGAGGGGTTGCCACCATTTGCTGGATGTCTAGGTTTCACCCAAGTAGCCTCTGTTAGGGTCCAAAAGCCAGGAAATAGAGCAAGCTATGTGAAAGCATGAGGATGAACCACTTGGGGTTTGTGAAAACATTTCAGTACCCTTAGGGTGAACTAACTGGTTTCACTATATGAGAATTACAACACTTCACTGTTTTCTTCCTCAATGGTAGTTCCGTGTGAATCAGCACAAGTCCCAGGTTAAGCAAAGCTGGTGAGCAAGATGCTAGTTCTACTGCATGAATCGTTTCTTCTCTTCTAATAGCCCCCATTGTATTTTTGAATTAAAATGGAAAAGAAACTCTGTCAGCAACCAATCTCAAAAACTCTGTCATTCTGTCCTGGCTGTATTAGTGCTAGAGACCAGACCTGCTGCAAAACCAAAACCAGTAGAAATGAACTAGTGCTGCAGTACATTCACAGCAGCTACATGTTTTGTTTCTTTTTTCTTTTTTTTTTTTTTTTGACCACATTATATGCACTGGACTGCACTCTTTTGTGGTCTTTTTAGTGGTCTTCAATCTTTCCATAAAACCATGCTCTGAGTGATGCCCATTTCAATGTGATGCTCAGACACCCAGTTGAACAAGGAAGCATTCATTGTGGCCAGAACTCATCTGAGCCTGAATTAGCCTGTCTTCTCAGCTGGTCCTCAATGTTATAAAGTCACCCTCTGAGCAGCTGGCTATACATTTATAATAACGTGTCCTTTGAGGCATTCTCATGCCTAAAGCAGTTTTAATCAATCATGGATGAAGGTGGTGTTTCCTGAGAGAATATAATGCAAACAATCTTCACAGAGTGCACAGCTCCACTTAAAGAGCTGCAGAGATTCTACTGAAGTTTATTCCTGTGAATGAAAAACAAATGCAACTGTAAAGCCACCTGACCTTTGCCTCTAACATGGTACAGGAAGAATTATTTGCATACCTGTGATATGAAGAGAGGGGGAATGACCTAAGTAAATCTAAGCAGTGGCTAGTCTCAGCTAAAAAATTATGAGGATGATCAACTACTTCAAAAGGGTGATACAAGGACAGTGGTAGTAGGCAGAAAACTTTTGTCCTTAGTCTTTGCTATTTATCAAGTGCATTATGTCTCAAATTACCAGTATTTATGATTCCCTTCAAGAATTTAACAAATACATATTTTACTTAAACTTGATCATTTTGCAACTTGCTAGATACAATCTATAAAGCCTTCCAAATTTGCAACCTCAACCCTACCTTGAACTATGACAATGAGTTCCATAAACCAACTGTGTTTTAAAGGGATAAAATGCATTTTCTTAGAAAAGACATTGTGAATTTGCTGCAATTCCAGCAAACTATCTTGTTTTTAGCTTCTCTGAATACAAATGGAGATTTCAAATCTACCTTGTTTCTTCTAATACCAATTTTGTATAATTTTATTTTCTTAACTTCCCTCTATAGCAAATAACATTCATCTTCTAAACCTCTTAAGTCAATATTACAATTTATAATTATTCCCTGAATCACCTTTTTTTCTGCATTTGAGGGAGCAGTGGTCAGTATTTCAAATAAGAGTACACAACTGTGCAATGAAAGGCATCAATCTATAAAAACATTCACATTACAGCTGTGAAAACTGAGCGAATATTTAAAAAAAAAAGTATTATAATTGCCTAAATATGGATCAAATCCAAAACAGACATATGGTTACTGATGCCAAAGGCACGTATATGTGGACAAGTCCAAGTTGCAAGCTGAGATTCAGATATATCTGTTATAGTGAGCAACAATAGTTCTACATTCAGCAAACCCGCTAAGTTTTTAAAATAAAACAAAACACCTAAATAAGCAGTCAGATAACCGTTCCGCTCTCTTATGCACACACAATAAAAATGTTTCTCCCAAATCTGACAAGGTAAGAACACTCCTTCTAGTTGATAAATATAGCAGGACTGAAGGCTTACATACCTGTACCTGCCTCCCTCCTGACAGTTTTTAAACATTAGATCTATTCCTCACCTATATTTCCCTCTGCATGGGCTCTGACTAACATCTTACAAAATAACACTGAGTATCCTGTGCTCTCTCTTCCTTTTCCCTTCAGATTTTCATTCCAACCCTTCCTACAACACTTTCCTTCATACCCTCACAGGCGCAGAATTGTCTCCCCTAGTCCCCTCCCTGTAGCACTTCTCTTGCTTCATGACTCTGACCTATCCTCTGATCACTCTATTGCCCACTTTTGCCCTCTTAATTTCTGTTTAGTGTCTTGTTAGTTTCTGGCTCTTTCCTTTACAAACACTAGCTTTACCTTCCAATATTAATGACAACTCCATTTGCCTCCTCAGATGCTACTCGTCTCTCTCTTATTTCTAAGGTTTCCCATATACCTTGGAGGTGGTGAGTAATTGCATTTATCTTTAACCTTTTCAGGTTAGAACTAGTTGTTTAAGAACTTCTTAAAGGAAATGGAAAGAGCTGGGCATTTCTATGGGGCGACTTAAATTCTAAGGTAAGTGTAAAAAATACACAGGATGAATTCTCCTCTGGAAATTACGATCTGGCCCCATTGGCTATAGACTGAGAACAGATGACCAGTTATAACTAGAAATACGACTTTTAGATGGCTCAAGTTAAGCAAAACAAACCTCACTGTAAGTTTCCAGCTCTCCTTTTCTTCAGTTACACACACATTACAATTTGGGGTGGTGATGGACTACCTCTTCATTCCACTACAGTGAGAGCCCTTCCAGTGGCTGCAGACACTTGTGATTTCTTCAATGACCTCTTTCGAGACAACATTTAAAAACACTACACCTTCATAATTTTTCACCCATCATCTGCTTTTGGCACCATTACAACCACATGTTTTTCTTTAGATCTCATCCTCCTTAGAACACTGTAACTATGTTAATCTTGGGTATCTCCCTAATAATGTCTTTTTTAGATTCTCATTCCTCTTCCTACCAAATATAGGAGTTCTTACAACTCTAGTTGCAAATCACTGGAATACGACTGCAATCACTTAACTCTATAATCACACTCCAGCCTCTCTCTTTTTCCTCACATCTGACTTATAACTGGATATCTGTAAGTTATATCCATTTTATCTACTGAATACTGGTGATCTGATAATTCTGCATTATGATAACTGCAAACTCCTTCTCTTACACTGAAAAATGCAACACTGCATGCAGGGTACCAGTTTTTTACTTCTGATTTTTTACTTCTGAAAAAATAATATTCTTAGCTTACTGCTTTGGTAATACTACTCTATCTTAGCCCTTCAGTGACTGCTTTCCCTGTAAAATATAAGCATTATTACTTTCAGAGTCCTTCGTGTCCTATCTTCCTTACACACTCTTGTTCTTTAAAATGTTGTCCTCAATTATTAACCAGTGACAATAATCTCCATCACTCATTTGATAAGTCTTAAGAGAACATTTGGGTTTTCTCCTCTGTGCTGCCCACCCCATAAATATCCACATATTTTTTTATTGTGTTCTTTTAATTTTCTTCCTCATCTTCTGTGATGCCATCAGGAAGCCTGATATAATGGTTACACCGCAAGTGTGAAGACACCACCATGCCCACCATGCTGCATAATGCTCTCTCATAAAGTGCTTCTTTACATTTTGATCCACTTGCTGTATTGACCACTTATGTCCCACTGTTGTTCATGTGTTTTGTTGTTACTGTTGTGTTTCTGTATCTTTTTATGTTTACATAGTGTCTCACACAGCATAGTCTAATTCCATAAGTAGTGATTCCATGCATTAGAGTACTACCAGTACTAAATAATAATACTAACCTTGATTGAGTTCAGGTAAATGAGGACATTACCAAACTGTCTAAGAAGAAAGAAGCAGGAGGACATGCACTGTCTCCCTGGGATGGTATCTAAAATTCAAAAGAGAAATGCAGATTTGTAAACTTAAAAATCACATGGTAATGTGAATCACTGCCAAGATTGCTGGCAACCATGAAAGCAGCTAACTTCTAAAAATAGTGTAACTTGCCTTTTCAGGCAAAGGACCATACTAGAGGTTAGAAAAACTATTAGATCATCTAGTCAGCTTTCTCTACAGCATACAATAACTATTGCAAGACTGTATTCCTGTATTCAAGAGCACATTCTACAAATTGTTTAAGTAACAGGCCTTTTCCATGACACAATTTATGTAGCATAATTATACCATTAATTTTTCTTACTCTTAGGAAATTACACTTGACACAAAGGCTAAATTTGTTATTCTAATCTCATTAGCCTTTTTTCTTTAAAATTATGCTTTTCAGTTATCCTCTACAAAGAAGCTCTACATATTTTAATTTTAGTTGCAGTAAGAGTAAACTTGATACACTGAAAATATTGTTATAAAAAAATTAATACATGCAGAGGAAAAATACTCGGTGATAAAATATGAAAATTAATTTCCATGCATTTGGGATTACCACACTGCTCACAAGCAGTAAAGTCATAAATAAGTTAGGCATATCAGTTCCAATGAGTGTCATAAACTTTGCATCCATCGCACTATGCTGTCATCTACTCTGAAATTGCTAGCTGTGTTACTGAAACACTATTTAAAAGTTTTTTTAGAGATTCGGAAGTAAGCTTACTAGGACTCATTTTTGTTAGACCCAACCAGCAGAGATGGATGAACTAGCTGGGAACGCATAAATGCAAGTGATGGCAAATCGCTACTATTTCACTATGTCAAATGATCATTAGAAAGCATGATGCTCCGTGCAGTTTGGTAAGGTGATAGGAAATAAAATCCTAAGGTTAGCAATAGCCCTGAAGTAATCTGCTCCTGTAGGTTAGTTACCATCAATCCATCCACACTAGAAAATTAAAATATATCTTTTCTGTCTATAGAAATTTAATTTATCTGAAGACCAATATTTTGACTCCATACCGTAACACAAAATACAGCATTCCACTGGAAAATTGTACATTCTCCTTTAAATAAGGTAGGGTAGCAATTATTCCTGGAAAGCACTATATAAGATCTCAAAATATATTTCAAAGGAAAGCAGAATATTCTCATTTTTTATTTTTTAGCACTAGGAGATACTGAGCTTGGATGTCCTGTCATTTCCATATAGAGACAATCCATCCTTATCTACGTCTGAATCACATCATTCAGTTGTCCAACTTAAGAAAATTATTTGGTTGTTTAAAAAATGTTCACTTGGGAACAGAAACTGGCCTGTATATTTATCTGTCCTTTTTTTACATGCAGGCATATGTATCATGAACACACCTATGCCTTGACTGGACAATAACAGAAATAGTTCCCCTCAGTGTTCCTCTTTGTTGTAATGAGAATGTAGGTACATCAAAAAGTGCTCCTTTTCTCTCATATTCAATTTTTGAAGTTCATAAACTCACAGCAATTTATTTTAAACAAAATTTTAAAAATGCAAATAAACATGCGAAGACAACTTAAAACTGAGAATCCGTTTTCAGTACAAATAAATCACAGTAACAAAACATTGGAACCACACTTGTCTTTTCCCATGTATGACTGGAGAGTTACTACATTTCAGTATTTATTCTTATGTCTACATTTTGTCAGAAAATTTTCTTATCCCAGGATACCATCCTCCATATATTTTTAGTGAAAGATTTCATTAGAAAAACCAAACAAGTAAAACATCTGCAAATCTCATACAACTCAGCAATGAACACTACTAGTGACAGGAAAACTAGAGTTTTATAGTTCTAATTCATCCCATGTGACTCATGCAGGAAGAGGAAAAAGTTCTCCTTTTGCAAAATTGCTTAGGGTGACCTAAGAATACCTCAAAGAAAAGACAGCACAAAGTCCAGAAGAAATGTTTTGTTCCTCCCACCCAACACCACATATACCTAATTTGGTCCTAAAAGAGGACCACTGAGAATGAAAGGGGTGCTTTTCTCCATTATGCTTGCAGTGTTTTTAGGGTAGTTTGTAAGACTCATGTTAAGCACCAGAAACACTGCATTTACTGGGAATGTTAATGCTCATTTACTTTCACTAATGTTCCTCTTGCCCTATTTCCTCCTTAAGTTATCTCAGAAATCTGATCTGTTTAATTTTCCACCCAGTTGAGACCCTAGAAAAGCTTGAAAATTAACTATAAAAATCTAGTTATATCCTCCTGTGTAATGCCAGTTCCATTTCATGTCATTGGTGTTAAGAATTTTTATTAAGCTTAAAAAAATCCAGTAAACCAAGCTGCTGTTCTGGGTACTATTTATTGCTGCCGGAGGGTGAGTATTGACTCCTACAGTATAAGTGCTTCCCGTTATTCCTCTTAAAGTACATAACTTCCAACATGAGATGAAAGGTGTACACGTATTGGAAAGAACTTTCACATTAACTCTGTTTGCTCTATGTTCCTTGAACCTCCAAATCAGAGATCTAATAAAAAATAGCAAAGGGCTTCACTGATGACACCAAATGACTTTACAAATACATGATACTGTATTCTTCCTAAACTGTGTGTTGCTGCTTTTTCCTTAATGCAGTCATGAGATTTCTACAGTTAACAAAAACTCAGAAAGACAGGACCTTGTTTTGAAAAAATATTCCACATCTTCATTTTAATCCATTAAGTTTTGATAATCCACACTAAAATCAGGAGCCTTGCAGTCCCAGTTGCAAGCAAACACACAGCATAGGATTTCTTTGCTCTAGTGAATCTGCAAAGCAGCTAAGTAACTTGTCTAAGATCTTTATCAATCTAGTGGTACCAGATCCTTGCAAGGATTGGCACAGTGGGAACTGCTGAAGCACCTCTTACACGCTTCAGCAGCACGTCTGGGTACTTAGCAAAAGCCTAAGTATACAAACAGTAAGAATTCTGTTCTCCATTCTAAATCCAGCAAAACAAAGGCAGAAGATCAAAAATGACCACAAATATAGCATTAGCCACTATGTTGTGATTTACGTTAAGAACATAAAAATGATCATACTGGATCCAAAGTCTATCTGCTTCAAAAGCTTGCTGAGTAAGAATATTCAGCTATAGAAAGAATATATTCTGATTTCACATATAACAGCTGCTGCTGTTGTCCCAAAACTTGGGTTTGTCACCTGGTGTGGAAAGGGCCAATTCACACACAGAGTGGAGGTATTTCCTTTTATTACATATCTGTGCAGAGATGGGTGTCTGTCCCAAGGCAGCACACCAAGCTTTCAGATTAATGGTTGTTTATACACAAAGCATTAACATATCAAACTTCCTGGTACATATGCATTGTTATTCTACTAAATAATTGGTTAAAATATTTGCCTAGTATGAAAATTAGTATGCATGCTCAGCTCTTCTTTCTTTTGAGTCAGTGGTATAATTGGGGTAGGTGGTCTGTGAGTCGGTTGTTGCAATCTCCCCCTGCCGGAATTACCTCTCCTCTAGTTTCTCACTTCTTTTGGCAACTCTAAGCAGTTCTTCATGGGTTGCTGACCAAATTAACATTTAATCATTTTCAGCTTCTACTTCAGACAGACATATCCTGCTTATCAGACAAAGGCACATTGTTTAAGACCCTAGTTTTGCATTTTCTTTAAGTCTAGTAAAGTTAATTTCTAACCTGTAGTTGACACTGTGATATGTAATGCCACTTTCTTTGAAGTTTCTCCTAGCTTCCAGCAATCTGCACTGAGAACTTCCTAATCACTGAAAAATTTCTGTTAAACAGCCAATGGACTTTTCTTCTATTAATTTCTTTATGCCTTCTAGTTCTTGCAAGATTCTATATCAAATAAGTTGCGTTTAGTGGGTTGGGTGGTATTGGATTGATGGTTGGACTTGATGATCCTTGAGGTCTTTTCCAACACTAATGATTCTATGATTCTATATGAAAAAGTAACTTGTGTTGTTTAATTGTCTTGTGTGATGATTTATTTCAATGCTCCTTGTTTTTTGTATGGTACAGTAACAAATTCTTCTGTATTCCTCTTCTCTGCATTATTTATGATGTTCTGCATCATGAATGTAACCATCATTTTCCAGGCCATGTATGCTCCTTTATTTAATCTCTCATTGTTCAAGAATCTATTGCTTTTCTCTGATCATCCTTGCTGTCTTTATTGTAGCCCTTCTTGTACTACCACACTTTTTTGAAATGTAAGAACCAGAACTGCAGACAGTATTTGAGAAAGAGAACGACATCTGTATACAATGACACAGTAATTATATTTGTGTTGTTCTCTTTCCTCATCAATTTTTAAGAGTCTCTTCACCTTTTCAGATAATTTTGCAAATATAGTTTAAGGGCTTTTTTCCCCGCTATGTACTACTTTGCATTTATCAAAACTAAATTTAATTTGCATATTATTACACAGCCTTATATATTCTTCCACAGCTTTTATCATTGTGGAAGCTTTAATTTTTCCTACTATGGTAATTTTGTACCATTGGCAAACCTAGTCATGTCACTATTTGTCTCCTATAGCTCATTAATTATGAATAAGAGCCCTTTCTTTAAAGAAACAAAAGGTTCTTTCAAGTGTTCAAATCAGGTGCATTTTATCCTTTTCACTGCTATTTCACTGAAAATTTTCTGTTAGAAATGAGAAAGGTTATTATGTAGCTTCCCTTCTTGAAATTAATACTGTGAAATTGAATTTTTTTTTTAGGTATTTGCTAACACATAGATTTTGAATTTGATTATACTCAGATCACTGTAACAGAAATTCGATTTTCATAATAAAATTTCAAATCAGGTTCTATGTAATCTCTATATTGGTCTAGAGACACCTGTTCACTTGTGTGTTCTTTAGGAAAAATGAAAACATAGCATTTAAGAATTCATTCTCTATATCATGACATGTCATTGCATTTACTAGGTCAATATGGGTAGAATAGAGGTCTCCAACTAATATTTAATTATCTGTCTATATAAAATCTCTAACCTCTTTAATATGCCAGTCACTGTTCCCATCCAGGCTGGCTGGTGAATAATTCAGCCTCAATACAATGAGTCTCCTATCTGAGCATGTAATTTAAAATTATTTTATGTTACTTACTGAAAGAAAATATATTGACTTTATTTTGAGAGAAAGTTTCTATAATGTTTAGAACCATTTATCTCATCATCTATTTAGTAATACCCCATTGTAAATTAAATAGGAACAATATCCTACATGTTAGCTTCCTCCTATCACATTTAAAAAATTATTTTAGGTGTTACACTTTATTAATCATCTTGTAAAACATCTAATACTTGTATAAAAACGCGTATTTGGTCTTCATGTGTTTGCTTTTTGTTATGTCCTATCTAAATTGAAGTCTGTTTGCCCCTTCTATTTCCTATCTACAGTTTGTTGACCTCCACCTCCCCTTCATTTGAGGATAAAAAAAACCCCTCATACTATTTTGCCTTTAAAGGAGGAGTTACCTTGAACTGTGTGCTCTTCTATATGTCAGCTTTCTCCGACTAAACTTTAGAAAGATGACAAAGCAGTTTTTACATGGAAGTACCAAGAGTGTAAGATGCTTGCAGTACTAATGTTTCCATTTACCTTGCATTTACCATCCTTCCCATAGGCTCATTTTTATCAGTTAACTCACCTTCCTAATCGGATTACATTTCTGTCCCTTCCCCCCCCCGCCCCAATCATACCTCAAGTCTCAGCCTCTCTATCTTGTTTTGCATATGGGTTTAAAAATATTTCACAGTAAAATTAAGACTTTTAGCTTGCTAACAATCTCAAATTCATTTTTGGGCTATATCTTCACTATACACCTTTTCAGGATATCTTTTCTCAGACTATCTTTGTATTATTTTTACCCACGCATGCCCTGGTCACTCATCACACCTGCATAACTGTTATGGGCATTAAGAGGTCCACCACAATTGTATCAATCACCCTGTGACTTTAGTGGCATCACAACACAAACCCAGTTAGCTATATGCCCACTAACTGACTCCTTCACTACTACAGTTTGTATTGCTTCTTTCTGTCAACTGGGATCCCAACTCCAAAGGGATAGCCTCATTGCAAAAGGAATGTGTTAGGGAAGGCGCATCGATGGAACCACTTCCAGCCTTTCAACGTCAAGCTCTCTGCTGCACAATCTCAACAGTACAAGGGCTGCAAGGGGAACAGAATGGCTCAACAGTATTTCTCAAAGTTTCATCAGTGCTGCAGCTCTGTCTCTTGAGCTTCTTCTCTTTAGTCACCATGGTCACAGGAAACAGCATTTAGCCTCTGAGGATCATGAACCACCACACTGTAAACATACACAAGTTACCCACCTAAAGAAATAGTCCTACTGACAGTGCCAGAGAGAAAACCGGGAAGCCCCATTTCAGCTGAATTTGTGTGCTCCAACTACTAACTTTTTTGATTTGTGATTTTTGGGTTTACTTTGACAATGGGAGGGGAAGACAAGGTTTTTTTGTCTGTTACTGAAAAATCTACTTTTTTTTGGTTGGGTTTTATATATTTATTTTTTTTTTCAATTCAACCAAGGAGTTAGTTCCAGAGCCTCCATTTCTCCCTGTAGCCAAATTCCTCTTTATGTTTTTATCACCCTCTTTCCAGGGCACACTCTGTGTTAGGACTCTACGTACTTGATAGGCTTTCATTATTAGTCCTAGATTTGTACCTGTGAGGTTTCAGCCATACACTTCATCTAATTAGGCTGTTGTCTTTTGTATCTATAATGGGGATTATCAAAGGCAAGCTGCCATAGTGCCTATCACTGAAGACCAGCAGCTTGCAGTACAGACTCTTTTCCAGCCAAATTCATATAGTAAGGTTTGGAATTAATTGAGCATTCTAATTTAAACGTGCAAATTTGTTTTAGACTATAAATTAGACTTTCTGTTACTTATACTATAGCAACAAAATGGCTAGCAATAGTCGTGCTAACAGTTAGCAGTTAGACAAAGATATGGTGGTATATGTTTGGATACTGTAAGAAGGATTACATAATACAAAAAGAACATTTCAAACATACCACGTTCACTGGCTGATTCACCCACCAAATGGAAGAACTGCTGAGCAATTTTCAGATGATCTCTCTGGGAGAGCGGAAAAAAAAAATCCAACATGAGTTCCAGAGTTGATGCTACGATACACATTGAAAATATGCTCTGAGGAACAGATGGGGAGCAACTAACAGACAAACCAGGACTGAAGTAAAAACAGAAAGTGTGCCACTGTATGTGCCTAGATATACAAGAACACTGTTTTTTGGAAGCAGGTCAGAGAAGCCAAATTCAGGTTGATTAGGACAGGACTAGCAACCTGAATTTGCATTTCACTCATTCTGGACTGAGTACTGTATGGAAGAAGATTAAGAGACTCAGAGCTCCTGCAATCTAAGTGAGAAATTACTGCCTCTTTCATTCCATTCCAGTCGCAACAGATCTGTTCACTGTACTGTTGGAGAAGGTAGAGAAACTCACGGGCTTCACTCACCGAGCCCATTTCTTGTCCAAATGCTGCATTTACCACACCTTTGAGGATGTACTCCTGAAAAAAAAGTAAAAAAGGATCAGAGAAATCAAGGTGAAGATTTCAGAAGACGTAAAAGCCTACTTGCACATTATTTTCTTCCTAAGTTCAACTCTATCCCAACTCAGTTTAACAGGAAGCTGGTTACTATGATAGTGCTTCAGCACAGTATTACAAAGTCAGCCCCCATAAATCCATTCTACTTGTTTGCTAGTCACTTCTGCTAAATATGTGGGATGCAAAGGCGTAGTGTGTTTTCTGATAAGTCTTATGCTCAAAGGTTATGCACCAGAAGGAACACCATAATACTGTCATCCCCCCTTCATCGTCATATGACCAATATTCAAGTGCAATATTGTCATATTAATGCACAGATCCCACTTCAAGTATGCACATTGGTTAACCATAACCACTATGATCCTTGCTCCAAAATGCACAGTGTTTCTCATCAGGGCAAAAATGTCAACAGGTTTGTGCTCTGTGGTCATGTTACTCTACTGAAAATAAGAATAGCAGTAGAGTACCCTGTAATCTCTACTATGAGATACAACTATAGTTTAATTCTTCTCTGAGCAAGATTTTCTCAGCATGTAACACACTAATTTGCCTTATTCAAATCTTACAATTAAGAGTTATAGCTATAAACCTGTTGAAGTAGGTTCTCCTGATAAACCTGGACAGTCCTGTCAGATGTAAACATGGAAAAAGAGAAAGGGACATGTACACAGACCAACAATGGAGTGCAAAGGACACAATCTGAGAGTACTAGCCATTATGTTAAGTAATCATTTTAGTACACCAGCTCTCTTACAGGTGCCAAATTATTATCCCATAGACATCATGACAAAGATGAAATTTGAGAAGGAGGAGGATATACAAGCAGTTTTGCAAGTCTTAATGGGGAGTTCCTTCCAAGCACGAGTGAGAAAATGGAAAAAAAAAAAAGCACAAAGATACTCATTCAAAAGCAACCAAGAATGATCTAATGTTATTTATATTAGACAAGTATATGGAGAAAATAGAGGCTAAAGGATCAATAACTGCAGAAAACTTCAAGTAATTCTTGCTATACTGAAAAATGCAAGAAGTGAAAAGCAATGACAGAAGACACTCCTCAGCACAGAATCACCAGATCTGTGTTCTTGAGGTTTTCCTTTTCCTTCCTTCCATCTAATGCTCACACAGACTCATGAAAGGTCCCTTTCATGCCCAGCTATGTGACCTTTGGAAAATAAACTGCAAAGAGGAATAAATCAGAGACTAAAGATGTTGGGACAGCCACAAAAGAAAATTACAGTAGCAGCCAAGGGACACCACAGTTTTCACTCATTGCTGCCAAAGTGAGATGGAATTAGAAAAGATCCATTATTTAAACTATTTAATATAATCTAGCTCATTTTTATTGAAATGGCTTCAGGACAAACCACATGAGCATCTGAGATAGTAGATCTGAGTGATGGTAACCATCACCAGGGCAGAAGTGACAAATAGCTGTAGCTGGAAGAGGGCTTTTATCTGTGCACTAATGGTCCCCTGACTAGAATCAAGTCTTCACACAACAGAGCTGTATTCTCATTGACCACAGGTGGTATGGCAATAAACACGCTAAGTATTCATATATGCTCATATATAATACTTTCTGCATGCACATTAAGTCTATTGTTGATGAAAAGATGGGAAACACAAGAGTTTTAAAAGTGAGAATGGGGCAAGCAGTCCTGAGGATACTAGTTTTGTATGTGGCATATTTCAAACCAACTTATAACTGCTGTTTTTATGTACCATGACATCAGTTTCCAATTACCTGTGGAGATGTAGGTTCCAGGTCCTTAATCAGGTTATAAGCTTCCTGCACATCATCTGAAATACCAGACATTAGAATGCATGACAACCCATAGCACACTGTATTAGAACAAATCACATCCTCTACAACATTCCCCAATAGTCACGGACTAAGAAATAAAGCATTTAGACAGGAGGAGAAAGGTAACTATAAATCATTGTGAATTTATATCACAATGGTGATGGTTTTCTAGAACTCAAATAACAAACATGGAGTAATAGCTTCTTTATTACTACAATTTTCCTAGCAGAGATGACTTGGCTCCCTTGTTCATAATCCAATGGCCGCCTTCTCAACAGTACAAGGTCAAGATAATAAATCCATCACCTTCCTGTCTTTTCTCCTATTTATTTACCCTTAAAGGAGGATAGGGTAACATGATTCTGAAGGGAAACTTCATCTTTTCCTTATCACTATCGCAAAATCTGTCCAGCAGCTCTTACCTGATCCTAGTTCTAACAAGCAAAAACCACTACTAGCATACAAGTTTAAATGTAAAGTTTGAATTTAGGACATTGAGGTGCTGGAGCAGGTCCAGAGAAGGGCAACGAAGCTGGTGAAGGGTCTGGAGCACAGGTCTTATGAGGAGCGTCTGAGGGAACTGGGGTTGTTTAGTCTAGAGAAGAGAAGGCTGAGAGGAGACCTTATCACTCTCTACAACTACCTGAAAGGAGGTTGTAGTGAGGTGAGTGCTGGCCTCTTCTCTAAAGTAACAAGTGATAGGACAAGAGGAAACGGCCTCAAGTTGCACCAGGGGAGGTTTAGGCTGGATATTAGAAAAAATTTCTTCACTGAAAGAGTGATCAGGCATTGGAACAGGCTACCCAGGGAAGTGGGGGAGTTACCATACCTGGAGGTGTTCAAGAAACGTGTAGATGTGGTGCTTAGGGACGTGGTTTAGTGAGTTAGGTGGTGTTGGGTTGGACATGATGATCCTTGAGGTCTTTTCCAACCTTAATGATTCTATGAATTCAATAAACAACTTCCTTCCCACTCATGAAATAAGTAAGCTAAAAAGATCCTAAACTTTACCTAAATCAAAAAAGATGTTGGCACTATGGTCTGCTTAGGAACCCAAACTAGTGAGGACGCTCTTTTTACTGGCAAAATATGTATGTATACCAGCTGCCCATAAGAACAAGTCTTATCAAACAAAACTTTTTTTTGCTAGTACATACCACCCATAAACTGTGGGGACAATACTCCAGGGTGACTTAAGGCAATATATATTGGAGCTCCCAGGTTCCCATGCAACACCTCTGCTTTCCTACCCATTCCCTTCAGCAGTCACATAGTAAGCCAGCACAAGGTCCTAGACTAGCCAAAAGTCATCACTTTTTAATTTTTTTTTAAATAGAAGTTAGTTTTTTGTTATTTTTGGCTAGCTCAGCTCACCAACAACCAACAAAAAGAAATGACAGCAGCCCTTATTTTCATCAGTATAGACCATCAACACAGAACTATGCTCTTCAGGCTCCAATATAAGCCTCTAGCAAATCTCACTGGAGCAGATTACAACTGGGTACCTGGCCCCAAACTCTGCTAAAAATCATCATCTTGAAGAGCTGAAAAAAATAGGATGCATGTTTGTGCTTCAGCCTCTGCAGTTCAGAGCATGTCTTAACACAAGCCTACCTTTATCAGAGACCTTGTAAGTTTGGGAGAGACAGCTGTAGTCATTAAAAGTAATGATTTCTCACATTCTTAATGAATGCTGCTACACTAGCAAGACTTTAAAATGGAAACATAGCCTAACCAGGAAAGAGGTTTTAATCCTAACTCCCCTTGGCCTCCTTTGTCAGTATGCAGTCATTTGTACACCACAGTGAAGAACAGAACCTAACTAAACAAAATTACTGCAAGGTTGACAGCAAAGGAGTAAACAAGACTGATTTTGAAGTGATGCAGAAGGTGTACTTTGCTTCTGTGTAAGTAGAACTTAATTTGAAACCTACTATTATTAATTATATTATTGGGCAACATAACTGGTAATAAAACCAATATTACCTATAGTGATATTGGCAACAATAATACCAGACAGAAAGGCAGCTGGGAACAGCAGGCAGAGATTTACCAATGCCAAAGTGTACTGACTAACCCAATAGCTGACTAGTTGTATGGATAAAGGGGATAGTAGGGCATGCTGTATATCTTTTGACTTTTGTAAGGTCTTTGCCATGGTCTCTTAAGCCTTTGTCATAGCCAGACTTGAGAGATAGGACCGGCTAAGTAAAATGAGAAGGGGATGGAAAACAGGCCGGACTACCAGAGGATGGTGATCAGTTGTACAAAATCCACCTGGTGGCTCATAACTAATCAAATCCCCCAGGGACTGATACTGTTGAATGTCTTCTATTAATGAGAATGTCTTTTATTAATGACCCAGATAATAGGATAAAGAGTATTCTCAGCAATTTTGCTTTGAAATACTGGAGTGACCCTGCCTGAGGGCTGCAAGGCAGGTAGGGGGCTGAGAAGAGACTGAGAAAACTGCATTTGCTTAGCTTTCAGAGGAGAAGGCTCAAGGGAGATCTTAATCGTTGTCTACAACTCACTAATGGGAGGGTACAGAGAAGATGGAGACAGATTCCATAGGGTGAGATTAAAGGCAGTGGACACAAGGTGGAACAGAAGTATTTCTGACTAGGTGCTCATCTGGACAAAGTTCTAAGCAACCTGATCTAATTGGACCTGCCTTGAATAAAATGTTGTGCTAGTGATCTCAAGAGTTCCCTTCTCACTAATAATGTGATTCTGTTATTTACCTAGGACTCCATAAATTTATACAGTATAAGGCAGGTGATAATGTACTTTTAATAACATACAATAGTGACCATTTGAATATACTTTAGAATGTATACCTAATTTACAACCATGATGAAATTTAAATAACCTCAACCTTATTGTCATCCTCCATTATCAAACAAAACAAAATAAGGATAAAATTGCCATATTTTGTGAAGATCGTGATGTTTGCAGATTAGCAAAGTCAGATTAATTAGATTTTATTGCACAATATTAGCCAATAAGAACTTCTATAACTGCTAATAGTCATCAGTGGGATATCCTAAAATTTGTCATGATGAGGCAGTGTTTCAATTGCACATGCAGACAAAAGAAGCAGTCCCAAGTACAACTGAGCACCAAAGAGAACTTATTCCAGCCACAAAGATTAAATCTCACCAACCACGTTGATTACAAATCATAAAGATGTTCGTCAAAATGAGTAGCTGAAACTCCAAGTCAATCACACGATAAAAAGCTCACAGAGGTTTTTCAATGTACTATGTTTACCTATACTCAGATTCTCCAATTAACTTATTGGGATGCAAATAATATAGTGTTGGTGTGACTTACTTCTGCCAGCCTTTTTTCCTTGTAATTTTTCAACATTTTGGAAAAAAAAATCACAGGCATGGACTTTATTTATTTAAAAAGTAAGAAAAAGACTTTTTTCTGCTTTCCCATGTTCTGGTCATCTAAAGGTATTTTGTCGCTTTGACACCTTTAAAAGGTGACAAAATACAAGGCTTATAAGAAAGCAGTGGATGGAAAAGCAATCATCACATCACTGTATATTGGATGACTGCAGTTAACACCTACTTATCACTCAGCCATCAACCCACTGTTGAATAAAGGAACACGATGGGAGAATAGGAAGGGCTCTGAAACTAAACTCAGGTAAAATTCAAAAGGAGTCTAAGGAGAGAAATAAGTAGAAAGTCCTTTCCAGCTGATTCTGGCTACCTACCTTAATTCTTTAAGAGTTGTAAAGTAGTTGGAATGAAATGTCTTGTTCACAAACTGTAGCCTTGTTCACAGTCACTTTGGCTCATATTCTGTTTGCGCCATATTTACAGAAATAGATGTCCTTGCCTCATAGGGCCTATCCCTACCATTCTCACATATTCAGGCAGAGGAGAGGGCCTCTCACTATAAATATATGAATGCCACCATCCCCAAAGCCATCTCCCACAACCCAAGCAACCTCCAATATTCTACTGAAGTACATTTATTTGACTGCACACAATTAAAACCCTTCTCTGCAAGCCATAGAAACTCTTATATCACTATTTTCCAGAGGAACAGAAAAATAAAATAATTACATTTTACTGCAAAGGGAAAAAAAAAAGATGTTTCATGGAATAGTCAGTTGAGATCAGATGAATGAATGTTACCCCTGAAGCTATGAAAGAGCCAGAGGAAGGTGTATTTACCTTGACGGAGATAGTAAATCACAAGATTCAGTCTTGCCTCAGGAATAACATCAACCAGAGGAGGCAGGACCTGCAAAGCCCCTTCTCCTCCTCGGAACACCACCTGCAGAGAAAAGCAGCATACTGATAACTGTGTATCAAAATCTTGTCTATAATCTCTTAATTCAAGGAAATTAATCCTTAAATACCTTAAATCCTTAAATAAAGTAGGAAAAGGCCAGTGGTACTGGCATTAGCATAGTCCCTGCTGTAATATGTGAACTATGTTCACATGATTCGTGTCAATATGAAACAATGAGGCCATATAATGGGACCTCTTTGTGAGGGTGGCCTTTGAGTATTTTGATTGTCCTTGTGTAATTGTGGGTAGTGGAATGGTATGTATATAGTTCATGTCCTGTTGCCAATTTAATGTTAATTACACAGTGTTAAGTGTGGAAAGCTTGGGTGGAGGGTCCGGAAAGTTACCGGAAAGTTAATTACACAATGTTACTGGAACTTATTTGCAGAGACACGCCTGTTATTATGAATATGCAACACAGAGGGGCAGAACTGCCGAGGCGCCACCAGAAAGTCCTAGAAGGTGAAGAGAGCATGCGCTAAAGGTCATTTGCATAGGCCCACCTCTTAAGGAATATGTACGGACATGAGGGATAAAAACTGGAAACAGGAAATGTAGCGTGCGTGTGTCTTGGTAGAGCAGAGGCTCCGCCGCACGTGCCCAGCGCTGTTTGCTTGCCTTTTATTCGCTTAATAAATTGGAAATTTTATTTGAAATCCCGTTTGGGACTGAATCATTTATCACATAATATAACTATAGAATTACTACTTGTGACAATCTTTATTCTGAAGAATATGAAGTATTTAATCCATCAGTAAAGATTAATTTATTTCAGCTTTTAGCAGCTCAAAGCAGCAATACATTATTTATCAAAGATTTTAAAGAATAATATTGTTTGAGAAAAGAGTGAGGGGAACACGTACAGAATAACAATTTGCTTTTGATGTATTAAAAAGAGAGGCTAACAATTCTACATTTATTTAGAATGCCACAAGATCCTAAAACGATCAGGACCAATTGGTTCTTTATACTTCAGTTTCACACGACAGTTCCTCGAACAAAATCTAACATACTTATTCCAAAAACCACTGTCAAAAAGACCAACATTCAAAATAAAGAACATTAACTTACAGAAGTCCAGTTTGAAAGCAGTTTTAACTCTTGGGGAAAAAAGTGTTAGCTTGTTGTGACTGCACTTGAAAAACGACAAAGCAAGCAACTGCCCATCATTAAAAAAGTGCAATCTACTGTTACTGGTTGTTCAGCAAGTAATAATACCACTGCAGGGAAAATTAACAGGTGATTAGTGACTCTCTTACAGCAGAATGCACAAGTATTTTGGCTTTTATCAGCATCTTTTTCCCCTATGAACTCCTTGTTAAATACTTTTTGGATGAAGACCATTTTCTGGAATTATCTTAATTCCACTCGCATTGTTGTTGTACTAAATAAAGAGTTCAGGGTCATGCATTCTGACTTGTTTCTACAGTGTCCTTATTGACTGGGCTTCATAAAATGTCTTGCAAAGGTATTCTTAGAGGACACAGATTACTTTAATATGCCTTCAAGGGTAAAAGCAACAGCATTATTAATTTCTTGACACAGTCTCAAACTGACAGGAAAAAATTCCAGGAAAAAAAAAAAATACACACTTGATGGCACATCAGTTATAAAGGTAGGATTTCTGGAACGGGACTTATATGGCAGCAGAGATTCAATTGGGTCTACAATTCCCAAAATATTACATTTTATGAATCATCAAGAAAAGCCTTACAAATTAGTGCATTTCATACTAAATCCGAGAAATACATTACTCACCAGATTGTGCTTAATGAGCTCCTTGCCAAACTCAAAAGATGATGAGGCACTGTCTGTCAAGTTCTTGAGCTCTGCCTGGAATTACATACATTCCACAATTTTATAATGAAAACAAAAAAGCACACAGGCATAAATGGAGCTTCACATGAGCCCCAAAGCTGATAGAAAGACATCTCCAACAGTGCTGGATCACAAGAAGAGTTTTGCCTTCCCACTCCTATGTGATGATTTTAGCAATTGGATAATACATATAGACACGAGGTCAGAAATGGACTGGCAGAACTCTTAAGACCAGTGTGCGTACATGTGGACATATGGCTTAATACCAGGGAAACGGAAATAGGTGACATTCCTAAGAGAAGGACACAATAAGATAAAGGCCATTATCAACATTACTGATGAAGACAGATAATGAGGAAAAGAAACTTGTATTGAATCTTGAACTAAAATAAAGGTGAACTGAAGGGCTTTCCAATAGATACCTCAGCAGCCTTCCCATTGTAAAGTCGGAAATGGTTACAAGCCTTAAGGTTAAGAGCAATGGTGCTGTCAGGAACTTGCTGAAGATAAACAGCTAACACTTCCTGTGATACGTCATAGTAATCCAGTTTGTAATAGCATAGGGCCACATATACATTCAGAGCCAGGTATTCCCTGCAGGAAAGAGGATTAAAGAGAACATTCAAATCCCACCAGATAAATTATGCTACAGAACACTAAAATCAGTGATAAAGCTCTCACATGTCTATACACCTTTTACAAGCACATCAAAACTGGAGTTTCTGAGAAATGCTATCAAGCCAGAAGATCTAGACACAGACATAAGACAGGCTTTTGTGGTAACAGTGAGTAAAAGGATAATTGTTATGAAGGTTACTCATTTAGCTTTCAGTGACTGCTTCTACAAGACCTGGAATTTCAAATCTCTTCCCCAAACATTACATGACATACTTATATACATTATGATGGACTTCTCAGAAGCATTCAGGAGGCAATACAGCCAAAAGATAGCTATGTATTCTGGGACAGCAGTTTCTATTTTATTAAACAATACTTCCAGTGACTTAAGAATTCAATTTGTTCCTTTTTAAATTCTGAACTAAGAACTTGCAGAATATGATAGAAGAAACAAAATACAGGGGGCTGGAACTTTTGCACATTTTGTGTTGGGAAAGGGATATAGTAATTAGGGAAAATTCCTACTTTCTGAAACCAAGCAGCTGCTTTCTGAAACCAAGCAGCTGAATGGAATTCAAACAAACAACAGTATCAGACACTGCAATAAGGTTTAAGGTAGAGATGCCCACCGATTATCAAGAAGAATGCGTTTGTAGATATCAATAGCTTCTTGGTAGTGGGACCGCATGTAGTGGATAGATGCCAAGCTAAGCTGATCTTCTGTAACATCTTGCAGATTCTGGTGACAGCTCATCAGTTTCTTCTCATCACTAAACTAAAAAAAAAAAGAGTGTGACACATTCTCAGGAGAGTTTAGTGAGGAAAAGTAATGTTTTAAAGTTAATTAGCTGGATTAGTTTTGTCCTTGCTGGCAAACAGCAGGTGACTCATATTAAACATCTGGAAAAACTCTGTTACTTTAAGGTTAATTTGACCAGTGGAGAAAGCCAAACATTAAAAAAGGCAGAGCAGTTGAAACTAGATAAATGTGAGGCTAAAACTAAGTACATATTTTCCTTAAAGGTGTGATTTAGACATAATTACGTGTCACATGCCTTGACGGATAAGAGGGGAAGAGCTGAATTAATTATTTCACAAACAGAATTTTGCAACACAAGATTTGACTGTTATTGTTTGAGTCAGCAGAAATCTTGCTGTTTGTAGATGCAAATCTTATTTCTCATGGATAGCAGAAAAATGCTACAACTTGCCAACACAACAGCACTAACTTTCACAAGACTTCTTTACAGCACTAACAAATTCTCTTTCATCAACCCCTTAAAATTCCAGTTTCTTTAACTAAATGGTTTATTTTTTAAAGTATTGCTGTCTAGCACATAACACACACACAAGCATAAAAATAAGGAACAAAGTTTAACAAAACCATTACAATTGTATTACAATAGTAAAGCTGAGGCTATCCATGTAATCAGGCTACTCAAATCCCTTATTCCAGTGCTTCCCTTTGCTGAGTCTGCTGATTCAACAGTAATTATGAATTTCTCTTACACACAAATTCTGTCTTACCCATTTGTTTTTCATTTGCCTGCTCAGTTTTTGTAAAATTCTTTTCCTCTTTGAGCCAGTCACAAAATGATACTCCAATACAAAGGCAAGAGAAGTTGCTTAATGGAACAGCATTGGGCTTCATAGTTTCGTAAACACCATTATTTCCAAAGACTAACGACATGAACGAGGAATTGTTCCACTTTTCTTTATCACAGACATCTGTAAGGGCCAGTGCCACTACAAAAATGTTTTAAGATTTCTCTCTTAAACTAAGCAGATTTAAGTAAAGAGAATCTGACATCAAAGCTAACATTCAGGATTTACACTTTATTTCACCCAAAACTCAGTCTCTTCAGCAGCATAGTACTTGTTAAGTATAATACAAGACAGTAAAAATCCAAATTTAAGGGAATATAGCTATGTGCGGTAAGTAAAATATGTATTTTAATTTTGTTGAAGTAAATTTCATACTATAAGCACTATTACTTCTTGGATACTGAATGACTTAGGAGGATCCCTAATAGCATATAGATCATTTTGCTCAAATTGCTAAGTGTAAGACAGCTGCAAATTAGGAAAACTTGGTACACTTCAAAGAAAATGAAAAACAGTGGCTTATAAATTTCTGATTCTATTCAAGTCCCAGGTTCCTTGTAATCAAAAATACCATCAGGTTCTTTTTGTATGTTGTATTGTTCCTCATATGAAGTGAGTTGGTAAGATTTTCCTTAGATACATGCTGAGGGCATCTATTCTAAGATCATATTTCACACTTACTTTCTCCTCCACATTTGAATACAGTAAAGTGGTTGTGGAAAACATTCGTTCTCCTGCTACTAGAGACATTTTAATTATTCTGCCAGGTTGCCAGCATAAATTACACATTACCCAATTTAAAAGAAAACAAATAAAGCATAGGTGAGGAAAAGACATCATACCTTATGTGCCAGGTGAAAGAGTAAACGGTTCTTGAGACGACTCTTAGGTGCTGTAAGGAAAATTCAGTAAGTATCACTGCCAAGAACAACTCAGGGTGTCTCTTTTTTATTTGTAACTCTCTCAGTAACATGCACCCATATTCTTTCATTAACTAGCCCAAGCACAGTTCTTTGCAGGTCATGCCCCAGAGCAGGTTCTATCAGTTTTAGAGTGGTTGAAAGGCCTTCCTGCTTCCTATCTTAATTCCTTGCCCATTTCTTTTGAAATCCCTGTAGAAAATATATTTTCATTGGCCTCTGCTTTCCATGAGTATTAAAACTTTCATGAATTCCACTGTCATTTGCCTGCAGGGCCTTCTGGATAGTTCTTTTTTTTGTGTGCAAGTGATACACTGCACAGCATCTTTTACAAAATAAAAAGCAGCAACAGACAAACTCATAATCAAGGCTCCTTCTATGATATGTCATATTTGAAGTAAGTTGCGATTCATGATTGCACATGAAAGAATCCTGCAGTAAGAGCAGATAAAATTCAAACCAAGATACGGTGAGAGATTTAAGAGAGATATCTCCTTTCTAGAGCCACTGAAGTTCATGAAGTTTCTTGCTCTAACAGGATTCAGAATTCTATTTAACTCATTCCATATGACATGTTGTTAATTGTAGAGCTTTAAGTCACTAGAGAGAGCCTTGTGCTTCACTGAGAGTCACAAAGGTCCTCATCCAATAGAGGATAATTTCTTATGCAAGCAGTCTTCCAAAAAGCCTTCTCTTGTTTCCTGTATTTTCTTTAGCCTACTCAGTTAATGAGCACTCTCATTCTTGCTCAGACCAACCAGCTGGCAACCTATGTTCCACAGAAAGGATGTACATGGAATCTTTACAAAAAGCAGAATTACTTACTGTGTTTATGAGGCCACAAAAGTGCAGAGTTAGCAAAGCAGTGGCCTGTAACACAAGGCTATAATTCTTCTGACATCCTAAACCATGAAGGAGGGCTCAAACCACCAAAACCTCTTCCCTGCCCCCCTCCAAGAGGGAAATTTCTAGTAATAAGGAATTTTTTTTTAAAGCGATTCAGGGAGAGATTTCCAAACTTCTTAGTCTTTTGTCTGCATAGTAAGAAAACTTCATAACACAGTGAACAATGCCCAAACCCAAGCCATTCTCATCAGGTTGGCAGTGTAAGGCTGTCCACCTACTTATAGGTGATAGGCACAGCAATTATTTCTGCCCTTTTCTCCTTCCCAAGCTGTGTTATTTAACCATGTTCCTAGAAAAAAAGAGGACAGTGAATTATATCTTTAAAGAACTACTAGAACAGAGAAGTCCCAAAAGGCAAAGGCAGTATGAGGGAGTTCTCACAAAACCATAACATCTTGCAAGATACTACTGACAGAGCATTAAGTTAAGAAGCTAAATGGTCTTCAATCGAGGATATATGTGTGAATTCTCATTAGCTTAATTATTAAAGAGCAGAAAGTTTTTGTGATTTACAGTCAATATTGTATAAGTAGCAGTAGTAGTATAACTGATACTATCGTACATTCTAGAACTTATTTCATGCATTAAGTTAGAAAATTAGAGTACCTTAATTTAATTTTAAGTTTTTCAAAATGTTGTCAGCAATGATACTGTGGTAACTCCACATGTGCGCAAGCATTAATTGATAGGTTTCAATATCAAAGTTTAGAAGGGCTGCACATGGACCCCACATGTGCTTTTGTGATAAACTTCAACCAACCACAACCACCCTTCACAATTCAAAACATTTGGTCATCAAAGACTCCAAAAATACAAGCAGGACAGATAGTGGGATTTACATTGAAAATAACATACTGTATAATCACAGCACTATGGGTAAAGACACCAATGTTCCTTTATGAGTAGGTTTTGTTTCTTTTTTTGAGTGGGTTTTAGCATTAATTTCACTGTGAAAATTGTGACTTGCAATACTCCCACAAGAACCTAAACCGAGGAATTCTTGTTTCGCTAGTCAACCAATGACTGCAGTGCTGCCCTCACAAACCTGGCATCTGATCTGACATCAAAATTATTAGTTAGTTCTTGGCAAAAGCTGGAGGGTTAGTTCATGTTATTTTACACCTAAAAACAGGCAAAAAAATGAAACGTGAGTTCTGATGGTGTGCATGGATATATGGAGGGAGAAAAAATGTCCTGCTTCATAAAATACTATATGATACTAGCCATTTGATATTCTTTAAAACAACACACTTTTACTTAAAGCCATCCAGAGAAGCACAGTGGAAAAACAAAACAAAATATAGTCCTGTCGATACAGTAAGCAGAACCATGGAAACATTCAGTATCAGCAGTTTCTTTTCTCCCAGTGACAAATACATTTTCTGAGTAAGACAAGAAAATATATGAACAAGGTTGGATTAGTTTCCAGAAAGAATTTTATTATGAATATTGAATAAAGCTATTGTCAATCACTGGAGCAGGAAGTGATACAGCTGCCTCATGTGAGAGAGTGATTTTTAATGGACATTAGGCTTGTTCTTTTATTACTCTCTGCTATTAATGACACAAGGAAGCACAATCTTCTTTTCCTGTCCTACTTTTTCAAGAAGATGACTGTACTAAGCAATCTAGAGACCATAAAAAACATGATGACAATGTTGCATGGCAACAAATTGGACCCCGCTCCAGGTCTAGTATTGGCCTTGTGCTGAAGACATTGCTGAGGTAGCTGGATAGGACATATCTCTTTCCAGCTATGAAACACATCAATATTCCTATGCTGGAATTTTTGTCATGATCAGTGCTGATGTTCCAGGCACTAAAGTCATAGCTGAGATTGGTCTTAAAAGTGTTCTATATGTTTTTATGTGCTGACACTGCACGGGCACTTAGCAAAGTATTTGTTAAAGTATAATAAATAGCTACAATAAGAGTAGAGACAGTTATCTTCACTAATTATTAAACAAAAAGTTAAGCTCACTAGAAATGTCAGCTCTGGCTCTTGGTGGGTTCCATATTGCTGCCACCGGCAGTAAGAAGACAATGAAACAGTCATGGACAATCTGGCATTTGGGCTGTCTCATAAGAATGCAAGGCAATGCTGGTCATGCATCCACTAACTTCACATGTTAACAGATGTAAAACACATCTTGAACATACATAGACAGGAGCTGGTAGGAATGGAACTGTGCTGAGAAGGCTCCAGCCAGACAGCACAGAAAATACGACCAGAGAAAACCTTATTCTCCTGTCCCTCAGAAACAACGCCCTGCTCACCTGAATACAGTAGCTGAATGAAGCCCTCTGTGCCTCAGAACCACAGTCTCACTGATGGAAGGAAAATGCAAGGGTATGGGAAAAATGTTGGGAAAAAACATGGTCCAACAGTGAGGTTCACACTTAAACACACTTGAATAGCTCAACTGTTCAGAATTTTCTTGAATGAAATTTACAGAGGACATTCACTGAGATTTTCCCCATTCCAAGAATACTTAAAAGCCAGTTCAACTATGTTTGGTTAGCTGCAATATATACACATTTAATTTCAGTCAGGCCTAAGCACAGTAAGTTACAGATCATTGAAGCAAAAACTGACAATGATTCCTGTTCTGTAGCTTCCACTATACTTTAAAAAAACAAAACAAGAAAATAAGGTTAATAGTTTTTAAAGTTTAAATATGTATAAACTGATCTTTTCACTTGTGCACTTAGAAAGTTCCATATATCAAACTCTGTTGGTTAAAAACCACAGCTAAAATGCAAGAAAAATTAATTACTGTTCTTGAAAAATACAGTAGAAGCAGAAAGCAAACAATTTTGCATGTAGGTGAACATGCAGTCTAAAGAGAAAACCCAGCAGCTTTTCCATGCCTGCTTGTAACTGCACATTTTCACTGGTGAGAACTATCTGACATGTGGCAAACATTAGCACATGCATCAGCAAAACTGGTTTGTAAAGTGTCACTGCTCTTACTAACCCATCTCTGTTCTGCTTTTGTACAATATTGCTCCTTCCAGTACAGGCTGTGAAGTAAGAAGTTTCTCTGTTCAGTTAAACCACATGCAGATCTGACACACGCAGAGTTGTGGAGAAGTAAAGCAGTTACAAAGCTTTGCCCATCAAAAATGTGAAAGATGGGAGAAAAAAAAAAAAGAAATAACTTTAATGACTGGTTCAGCAACTCAACCGTGTCTGTGCATGAATCTTAAATTTAATTGTAAAGCTCCGTTTATCCTAAAAAACTGTTTTTCACAACAGATTTAACTATAGCCCCACTTATGTGCACATTTTGTGGTTTAAAAGAACATGGTTAGTTCTTACGTTTTTCTTAATGCAGTGCTAGCCAACAGCTTCTGAGAGTACTATGCAGGCTTCTAAATACTAATATCAGTGGCTACTTGTTGTGTCTATATCCAATGAAATATTTTACTTCTTCAGGATCTTTGCAAAACCATGGAAGAGATCACAAGATGTTATGGCCTCAGCTGTCAATAATATATTGTGAACAGCCACCACTGATGGCTAATCCTAATCCTAATCCTAAAATGTTAAAAAAAACCTAAAAGAGGATCTCTCTTGAGAGAAACTAAAATGGTTCAACCTCAATGTAATAAAGACTGAAGTGATAGGAGAGGAAAGGGGAATATACAACACTTGGAGGCTTTCAGGGGAGAACGGACAAGTGTTACAAATCTTCAGCTGTGACTGCCTCCCCATCAAGCATAAGTAGCCAGAAATCATCAGTAGTACAGTACTCACAAGAAAGGTTTAGCACCTCACGATAAAAACTGGCATGCCGCCCTTAAACAATTACATAAAATCAGGAACTGATATTACTACCACAAGCACTCGGTTATTCTCTGTTCCCTCCCTCAGCTACACTCCCAACGTCTTGCACTCCTTTCTTAATATTCCTGCCTTCTTTTCCAGCACCCAAGTACCACCAACCACATGCCCTGCCACTCACCACGCTACTATGAACTAATCTGAAGGGGCACAAAAAAATTAACCTTCCCTCACCTCCAGCTCACAGTTAATAAAGGTGCAGGTCCAGCTGTGTATGTGTCATCTCTAGAACAGATTACTGTAATTCACATGATGTGAAACTGATGACAATGACTTTAACTGGTACAGGATGCAGCTCCTTGCTTCCTCCATGGTTTAGGTCAAAGTGACACTTCAGGTTTATTGCCCAATTATTTTTAGATTCCAGTTCACGTCTTGGATTGTAATTTCCACAGCTCAAATCTGTGGTACGTTAAAGGTTAAATTATTATCTCTGAGTATCAGAAATTTCCCTACCTCTTGAACAACACAAATCACAAATTCTGTATGAAACTTTTTACAGTTAGAAGTAAAACATTTCCAGTTGTGGCATTCAAACTCAGCGTGATCTTTCTGAGGATTTTAAAGGGATATGAGAATCTAATTATTTCTAAAAAATACTATAAAACTGCCTTTTCTGAAGGCACTCCTCCACAATAGCAGAAAGTATACAATTTTTTTCTCCCTACCCTATTTTCAGCCCAAGACTGTAAGACTAAGGACAGAAAGGAAAAAACCCATACTTCTATGAAAGTTTTATCCTAAAAAGGCAAGAGTCAAAAGCTGACTGAGAACACCACTACTATTAATTCTACTTAGAAAGCACTGAGATACTATGGTTATAGGAAACAATATAAATCACTAAGACAAACAGAAGGTGACGGGTAACAAAATTAAACTGCAGAAACATTTTTAGGCAGTAAAAATTGTCTTGGAATCTAATTTCCATTCCTCTTCTTCAAATGATTTCATGCATATTCAGATTAAAGTAGAACTGTAACAATGTGACTGCAGTGAACTCCATGCCTTGAAGAATCTGATATCTAATATCTGACTTATAAGGCAACAAGACCACATACTAAGTCACTCAAACTACATAAACAGAGTTCTTGTCCACATCAGGGAGAATGCTGAACTCTCTCAGATGCTTATTTTTTTTTTAATAATTTCACCAGCCTAATTAGCTTCATCTGCACTCGCTCAGAGACATGGAATCAGTCAAAAGAAAAGTAACTTGTCTGGATTTTGTATTTAGAAATTAATAAGAGAAATGATTTTCCAGATGTTTCTTTCAGTTCCAGATGCTCCACCTGCCCAAGGTATTTTTCAGGAAGCAAACTGCGTCATAACTCTTCTGTTAAATGAAAAAAAAACACCAACAAACCAACAAAAAACCAATACAAAAACCCCCAAACTAAAAACTCTTGCTCAAAAGTATCGTTTATTCCTATGGAAAATAAAAGCATCTAATACTTTCTTTGGATATCACTTCAAGTAGCCCTTTCCATCAGAGATACACATCTCACCTTTCAAGGCTGCTTGTTCAGCTTGCGTGTACATTCCCAGAAAGAAGTATGTACAGGCAAGGTTCACCCAAACATCTGGATTGCAATCTGGTTGTTTGGTTAAGGCCTCATATTCCTGTAAGAGAAGAGAGGGTTGATTTCTTAAAAATGCATCATAGCACAGACTTGTATTAAATATCATTCTTTCTTCCACCATTTTACAATGTATCATTAAATTACTGAGATCACAAAACTTATTCTCAAGTTCATTGGAATTCTTACAACTAAACTACTACATTTTAACCCAAGATATGCCCCTAGCTCTTTTTTGTGTACAGCAATAGAGCAGACAACAGGAATAAGCAGTACTATAAATCTTCACTGTAGGAGCATGGATTCTGTCAATATTGAAGTTATATTTATATTAAAATTATTTCTATTATTATATGTTTATATATATTACAAATATATTAAAGTAATAAAGGCATCAACATAACCAACTTTTCCTCAGTCTTTTCTGATGCTTTCCTAACTTCTCCAGTCAAAGCCTGGGAGCCATAAACACCAGGGAAATCTCTTTGTGAATATTTAGCAGAGCAAGTGTTAAACATGCTTTTATAAATATGCAGGTAGTGTCTTAGTATAGATTAAAACAGTGGTCTCCCAAGTGCGGTTGTATAAGACAATACCACTGGGTGCAGGAAGACTTTTTTTTGGTACCATTAATAACTAAAATAAATATTTTTTAAATAGTGTTTGTTTCATCTTTATCTCATCCTTTTTTAATTACTATTTTTGTGTATGTTTTATAATTACATAATATATTAGTACACTAGTATATGTTTATAATTCATACATATATACATGTATGTATAATGGAGTGTGCTCAAAAATTTTTTACTGATGAGGTGTATGATCAAATTTGTTTGGAGACCACTGCATTAAAATGCAAGCCTACAAATCACTATTGGACAAATTCAAGATTTCCTAATAGATAAAGATATAATTATAGTAACTATTGCTTAACTGTGCCTAACTTCACCATTTCCCATTTTAAGACTTACAGACAACAGCTACAGAAAACCACTAGATACCATATTCTGATATTTCTTACACACCCACATCCACGATATATCCCTTAATACTGTCAGATAAACTGCTTCATTTCTTTGTATTTGTCAAACAGTAAAAACTTAACAGATAAATCTTTCAATCTACCTTTTTAATGAAGAAAAACTTTGCAGCTGCCAAACAGTGATATTCCAGAAGGTAAACATCTTTGCTCTGCGTAACAATAGGTACTAAAAAAAGAGGCAAGGAGACCTCTCAATGCCATTTTTTTTCCTTTGTCAGATTTCTGTTAAATTACTAGGAAGGACCATCTCAGTGAAAGTGGTTCCTGCTTCTGCTCCTGCTCTCCATCCAGCTGTGCCAACAGGCAGCATAAGGCAAAGCAGGCAGGGTCATGCAAGGTTCTCACAAGATCTGCTAAAAGAATGCCATCCACATACATCACAATAAGCCTCTCATCTGTCTCAGCAACGCAACCCTTTGCCAACTCTGTACTCTTCCTCCAAACACAAGAATTGGAATTTCTTTCTGCCTTGGTAGAGTTTACCAGATTGTGCCATGATGGGTGGAAGACTTCCTACCTCTGGGGGAAAGACACAGATATATATATATATATATATAGCACTAGATAAAATAAGCCACGCCCAAAGGACAGTGAATCCCAAGAACAGAAACATGCTGACAACAACAGAGTTTATAGCTTGCAAGCAGAAAGAATTTTTTTTTTTTCTGTTGCCAAGTGAAAGTAAACTGCACTCCCAAACAGAGAAGATATTGGTAAGGTATGCCATTAAAAGCCAGCTCAGTCTTGCTAGTACTTCAGGGACTAGCTGTCCTTCAAGGAGATTTAAAATAAAAATTAAAAAAAATTAAAAAAGAAAACATTTACATAGAGGCCAACCTTT